TGTTCTCTGATTTGCTTTGATCTGATGAGACGGTGAAGGAACAACACAAATGATTTTCCTTTCCTTGTTTCTTTCTTGTTGATGTTATTAAGGTTTTTTGTAATGTATATTTGGGGGATTGCACGTGCCACGTGGCTGTTTCTGAGGTCGGTTGGTCAGATTTAAGATTTTCCATTGCGTAATCACAAGGGAAAAGAGATATTTACTAATTCCGACGCGTTCCACCGACGGAAACCATCATCAATCACATTTAAAGAAAGTCTTTCCGGATTAGTCACGGGTTATTGGGTTGATCTTAGTTTAATTACGTACCAATTAATTAACTTTAGAGTCTTATTATGCCATCTCAAAAACAATTTATTGCATCATACAATGAAATGAACTACTTTAAAATCCAAAATTCACGTCCAAATTTTGACAATTGTTTATGAACTGATAAAAACTAAAATAATCTATTCAAATTATAATATTCCCTCCGTTTCAAAATATAAATTGTTTTGGGGTTTTTTGTTATGTTCAAATATAAGTTTGTTTTGATAATCCTAGATACTTTTGAACTTTATTGACTATTGTATGACCAATAGTATTTTGCAGTAGTTTTTTTTATTGATTAAATTATTTTTATTATATATATAAGATGATATTTTTTATAGAAGAAAAGTAGTTTCTTAATATTCACAATTTTAGCCAAAATAATTTACATTTTAAAATAGAAAGAGTAATAATAGTAAAAACACTATTCAAATTATAATTTTTATTAACTAACAGAAATTTAACTTAAAAAACAAAAAAATTTACTCAAAACTATATAACTTCAATAAACTTGCATATATAAGAAAATTCTTAATATTGATAACTATATTTAGTAACCGGTAGTATAGGAGCATCCAGTAAATTGTTTTGTTTTAATTTTTAATATTTTTGCAACAATATTCCCTTTTTTAGTTATGAAGAAGATAATAGAGATTTAGAGGTGCCAAAATGTTTGTCTATACAGAGAGAGAGACCACTTATTCTTCTACATAAAAACAGAATGATTTATTTTATTTATTTCATCATGTTTAATGTAAATGGCTAG